TGCCCCCCCCTCCCCCGCTTCACCGTGGGCGAGCCCATAGCCGTGCCAACCCCGCCCCTGCGCCACACCATCCCTGCAGAAAAAGCACTGCGAAGTGCACGTTGCGTCCAGATGTGGATCGTGCGTGCGGGCCCCCCCCAACCACCACTCTTGCAAGAGCACCACTGAGTACATGTAGCGTGCGGATCCAGATCCTGCGTGAGGGCCCCCCCGCCCCTCCTTGAATTAGCCTGGCGAAGGACCCAACCATATGCAGTTGTGAGTACCGCAATTGTGAAAATCTTCTTCAGTGGCGCCCCCTATGGGGCCACGAAACGTGTGACGGGTGTGCCGAAATGGGTGTGGGTGACGCATGCGGGCGCGGGCATTGGGGCCTTCGGTGGAGCTCCCTATGGGGCCACGAAGCGTGTGAGGGGTGTGCCGAAATGGGTGTGGGTGACGCATGCAGACGCGGGCACTGGGGCCTTCGGTGGAACTCCCAATGGGGCCACGAACCGTGTGAGGGGTGTGCCGAAATGGGTGTGGGTGACGCATGCGGGCGCGGGCACTGGGGCCTTCGGTGGAGCTCCCCCTATGGGGCCACGAAAACGTGTGACGGGTGTGCCGGAAATGGGTTTTTTTTTTTTTGGCGGTGGGTGACGCATGCGGGCGCGGGCACTGGGGCCTTCGGTGGAGCTCCCTATGGAGCCACGAAACGTGTGAGGGGTGTGCCGAAATGGGTGTGGGTGACGCATGCGGGCTCGGGCGGTGTGCCGAAATGGGTGTGGGTGACGCATGCGGGCGCGGGCACTGGGGCCTTCGGTGGAGCTCCCTATGGGCCCGCGAAACGTGTGAGGGGTGTGCCGAAATGGGAGAGAGGAGAGGAGGGGGAGGAGGGGGAAGAGGAGGAGAGGAGAGGAACGCGGGGCACCGTCTCTTCAAAACGAGGACCCAACACCACAGGATGGTTGGGAACAAAAACATGTCAAAGTCCTCCTTGCGTCTGGATCGGGCTCGTGAATGAGGGCCCCCCCCGAACGTCAGACGCTACAGAGCACACTATGCGCTCCACAACTTCCCAAGAGGCACTTTCTCCACGCCGCACCCGCCCGTGGTGTTCAGTAACTGGTGCGGGATCAGGTCGTAGTGCCGATCGGATGGTGGGGTGACACATTAGGTCAGGCGACCGCGTGCTCCTTCGAAACACTGTGGACGTCTTCCTGGCCCCGACAAATCGACATCGAATCGGATCGATCGTGCGGAGACCACCGGCCACGGCCCTTGCCACGCTAACTGGCGCTGATCGATGCAAGATCGACGCTGCTCGACGCGGGATCGGCACTTCCTCATCGACTACCAGACGCTAGCGCACGCCAATGCACTCTAAAGAAGGGGCTTCTACCGAAGGCGAGAGGAATAGGAATAGGAATAGGAATAACGATATGACGGTGTCAATGAAAGACAAGAGCCACCCCCCCAGGCTTCCGCCGCGCTGCCCGTTCAGCAGCGCTTAAAGGCTTGGGGATCAACCCTCGGTGGAAACGATCAAGGTAAGACCACCTCGTGTCGTTGAGGAATTCAGAACCTAGACACTCCTGCCTGAGCCCCGCTAGTAGGTTAGCCGTGAGGAAAAACCCGCAAGCCCCGCAGATCCAGACCTTGAGTGTTTGGTGAAATAACATACGATGTGATTCGTGAGCCCACCCCCCAGCTAAGTGCAGCTTCCCACTAGGCCCCTTAGAAATTGCCGAGTCAACTTGTTCTAAAGGCGCACACGGGGAGGCAAGCCATTGGTGTAGGGTGGCTTTGGTGCCGCTACTGTGACACGTGGTACATCTAAGCCCGCATTCGCTAAGCGAGTGCACGGTCCGAAATCGAGCAACCGTCGCAGGGGCGGGAGGCGGCGGGGCAGGGGCCGACGGGACACGATCGCCAGAGCCAAGCGCAGTTACCTTCGCATCCTCGCGCTCGGCGACCGTGGCCTCGAGGGTCGCCCGAAGAAGCCTCCGCCTGATCAAAGCAGCTCGCCCCTCAACTTCGGCAACTCTACTCCTAATGGCAAGAGGGGCCCTACACCGCTCAGCTGTTCCGAGGGCGATGGCGTCAGCCACTTCATTTCCATGGACCATCCATCCTGGCACTTGGCGGCCATACATTTCCTGAGCGGAAAGGTGAGATGGGACTTGGAGCACGACGATCTCGCTGGGGTCCCTGTCCTTAAGCAAGGCTCCGATCTCCGACCACAAGTCATTCAACTCACTCCTGCTCTGACAGAGGTATTGTCGGCTGTACCAGCCGCGCACAACATTTTCGTTATCTGAAATATGAACTGTCGGTCCTGAAGAGCACCGTATGGCGAGCTCGAGGGAACGGAGCTCCCCTCTCGGCACTGTCTGCATGCGGCCTGTCAGAGGTCCTGCGAGGATCGGAGGAGGAGGAGGAGGAGGAGGAGGAGGAGGAGGCCCACTACCAGCAACACAACCCACCACAACCACCACAAACCACAAACCACCGCACCACCGCCACCACCGGCACCACCACCACCACCACCACCAGCCTCACCTCCACAACCCACCGCACCACCACCACCACAACCACCTCCACCACAAACCACCACCACACCACCACCACTACAAACCACCACGTCACCACCACCCACCACTACAACCACCACCACCACAAGAAACCACCACCACCACCACCACCACAACCACCACCACCACAACCAACACCACCACCACCACCACAAACCAACACTCCACCTCCACCACCACTACCACAACCACCACCACAGAGGGGCCCCAAGAGGCGCCCAGGAGGCTTCACAAATGCCCTTCAGAGGCCCCCCGAGAGCCCTCCGACGAGACCCCGAGAGGCATCCATTAGGACCCTGACCCAAAACCAAGAAACGGTGGCGGAGCATCGTCGTCGTCGTCATCGTCGTCGCCGTCGTCCTCGTCGACGCTTCCCGCCGCCGCCGCCAGCTGCCGCAGGCGCTGGCGCTGGCCCAGAAAAGGAAGTCGTCGTCTTCATCGACGCTGCTCGCCGCCGCCGCCAGCCACCGCCGACGCCGGCCCTGGCCCGAAGAGAGGGAGAGAGGACAAGTAGGGGAGGAGGGAGGGGGAGGGGGGGTGGGGTTCGAACCCTCCCCTACGTCACGGGAGGGGGGGGGGTCGAACCTCCCCCCCCCCCTTCCATCCAGGGGTGGGGTGGGGGGTGGGGGGGTGGTCCGGTTCCAACCCGCCCCCCTCCAAGCGACCACAGAATGCGCTCTTTCATAGCTTGGCCAGATGTTGGCCGACCGTTCGGCCGCATAGGCGTCTCCAAAAGGGAGGGAGCAGGGGTGGTTCGCCGTAGGCGCAATCGGTAAACGAACCATTTTGGCTATTCGTACTCATGTCATGTGTTCTTGCGCGAATGCAAATGTACAATATGTCTGACTAATGCAAGTTGGGTCGCGAAATAGCTGCATTGCTGGATAAAGCCATTCCGCGTCCGCGGTTCTGTCTTGACTATGCAGGGCGCTTCGGACAGGAAGTCTCCAACAAAGCATAGACAATTCTGGACGGCGGCTATATGTGTATCGTGTGTTCGGTGGTTGCCAGGGCTGCCCGAAGGAAGTGGGTGCCTGGTGCGCATCCGCTGGAGCAACCTGCTCTGGCGCCACTCTCGGGCACCGAGCAGTCCCGCCTGCTCCGGGCATTGCTGCGACGAGGGAGCTGGAGGTCACGGCGGGACAGGCCGTGCTCGATGATGCCAACGTGGGCCGTGAATCGCGAAGGGCGCCGCGGTCCGACGCCACAGCGGCGGCTGCGCATTCAGACCAGAAAAAGGCTACCACAGGCTCGGGCGCAGAGAGGATTCCCGGCCAGAGCCTGGAGCGACCCCTGCGATGCCGGGTCCTTATCGGGCCTTGGAAACGGTAGGTCCCTTTTGTGGTGTGTGAGGAAATGCCCGAGACGTGCCCAACCCATCTGCAACAAGTGGCCACAACGATGGGCCCGCTTGATGCTGATAGTACCACGCAAAGACACGCAAGTTGTTATGGCAACTACACGCATCCGTGCATAGGCACATGCGCACACACACATACACACAACACACACAACACACACAACACACAACACACACAACACACACAACGCACACACACACGCACGCACGAACGCACGCCCTAAACATACGCAGCCACGTCACATGACTGTTCGTAAGCTGCTTATGCAATTCACATGCGTACTCACATCCACGCAGCGCAGCCACAAAGAAGACTCATGACGTGCCCGGCCAAGCGAACACGCGCACGCCGTGAACTGCTGCTGCTGCTGCTGCTCGAGGGGGGGGGGGAAGGGGCAAACGAGGGAGGCAGAGCCCGAGCCTCTGCCCCTCCTCCCGCGAGGCAGACCTCCCGCTTGGGTACCCCATCTCCTCCTCCTCCTCCTCCTCCTCCTCCTCCTCCCCCTCCTCCTCCTCCTCCTCCTCCTCCTCCCCTCCTCCTCCTCCTCCTCCTCCTCCTCCTCCTCCTCCCTCCTCCTCCTCCTCCTCCTCCTCCTCCTCCTCCTCCCTCCTCCTCCTCCTCCTCCTCCTCCTCCTCCTCCACTTTTCTCCCTCCTCCTCCCATGCCACCAGCACTCCCGATCCCGTTCGCGCTCCGCCCCTGCTCCTGAGAGGGGCGGGAGCGATCCCACGACCGCGCGCGGGGAGAAGCACGCGCAGGCCACGCGCAGGGATATGGCCAGTGCCTCTGGGGGACGAGCACTGACACAAACAGAACAACTGCGAGGTCCGCGCGGACCCCCGAACTTTTTGTGTTCATGTCATTGCTCGTTCCCCTAGAATGGGGCAGTGCATCCCGTGCGTGCGCCTGCGTGGATGCACCCGGGCAGGACGCCGACAGCGACAGACGGGAGAGAGGCGGGGGGGGGGGGGGCCGCATTGCGGCTCCCGCCGCCCTCATGCCTTCCTGCTGCCTCCGCCTCTCCCCGTGCGACCCTCCCTGCCTCCCGCGGGGAGTCTAAGGGCACGGCCTTTGCCGCGGTCTCGGTCCCCGCGTCCGCCACGATCGCGATCCCCGCGGTCGTGCTTGCCTGCCGAGCGGTCGGGTTAAGAGAGCCCCAAATCGAGTCGACACGCCGGATCGGCGTTCGACATGAATCGGATCGACGGGAGTCGGCAGCCGAGTCGGGAAAAGTCGAATCGGCAGACATCGGCAGGCTACTAGGCCTCCCTTGGGAAATCGGATCCCAAATCGGAATCCGAATCCGAAATCGAATCGAATCGGAATCCACAGAAATCGAATCGAATCGAATCGGAGGAATCGAAATGAGCCCTGAGTCGGGTCTCGGATGGGTCTCGGATGCTGGCAGCGGCTGCCGTGGCAAGGCGAACCGCACGTCGCGCTGGTGAGCGCAATGCTGCCACGGTGCGTCGCTATGGGCAGATGGGGTGGAACAATGCAGAGGCAGCCGCGAACCCGTAACAGTCAGGGCAGTGCCTCAGGAGGGCTCAAAGACGACCGAAGATCTCCAAGACTGGACTAAAGCGCCAAAAGAAGGCCCCAAGGAAGCCCAGAGAGGCCCCCAAGGCGGCTCCCAAGAGACCCCAGGAGGTCTCAAGAGACCCCGTAGAGGCTCCCAAGAGGCGTCCTCTCTTCATGCTCCTCCTCCTCCTCCTCCTCCTCCTCCTTCCCTTTCCTCCTTCCCCTTTCCCTCTCTTCCTCTTGGCTGTTCTTCCCTGGAAGGTTTGCCCAAGGGTTTCCACAACGACTGGAGGAACACATAGTTCAATAGATTGGCCAAGCTTTGGCCCCGCGTTCGGCCACATCTGCATTCCCACAAAGGCGGGGGGCGCCGGTGACACGCCGCAGGCGTCTTCGATGACTCCAAATGGAGCCCGCAACAGCTCCACATCTCTGATAGCGCACTCCTCCTTCTCCTGCTGCTGCTCCTCCTCCTCCTCCTCCTGTTCTTGAGCACATCGTGGACACGCAGTGAGCACGAAAGTGAGCACGGCAGAGACCATGCACCAGGTGTGGTGGGCAAATGACGCGCGGTCGCACTCGATACGACGCCACTGCAACTAAGTTGGTAATGCGATGCAACAACATGTGGGCGGAATGTGAACCATCAAACCAGACGACTGTTGAACTTCTACCATTTCCACAACTGTTCGCCGAAAGTACTGCCTATAATGACAGCTCGTCATCCTCCCCTGCCTCCTGCTGCTAATGCTGCTCCTGCTCCTGCTCTCTTTATTCTGCTCCTCATGCACTTCTCGTTCAATATCCTCTTCATCCTGATGCTCCTCCTTGCCCCGCTCCTTCTCCCCGCCCAAGCCCTGGGCGCCCAAAGTGGCGCCCAGGGCCTGACGAATGTCAACTCCGAGGGCTAGAGCTTCGCCGCAACAAAACACAGATCCTTCTCCCCCCCTACGTCACCTCCTCCTCCTGCACCTCACCTGGAACCTAGACGAATCATACATGACATAAGCCTGGACTTCCGAGGTCCACGTGGATTCCTCGGATCCGGAGCTGGGCCGCCTTCTCTCTGCTCTGGCGCCTGCGGAGCGCAAGGGGCGGCGCCAGAGGTGCCGCCACGGGGGGGCCCAGTACCGATCCAAGAAATTCGCGCGGAGGTCGGAAAGTTTATGCTTATGCATTTGTTTTCTTCTTCGATCCCCCTCCTCGTGCCCCTCCTTCTCCACCTAGGGAAGAGGAAGCAGTCAGGTCAGCACTGGGCTCCATGGGAGTTGCTCGAGTTTCACAGGAGCCGCCCAAACACTGACCTGACACATCAACCATGAAACTGCTGCTTCACGGCCACAATGGGGTGGGTCAGTGCTCCAGCCTCCTGGGCATCACCTGAAGTGACTCGGCCAACCCGAATGCTGACCAGACTTTGTTTTGACCCCGAATCCCTCCTCCTCCTCCTCCTCCTCCTCCTCCTCATTCTCCTCCTCATTCTCCTCCCCCTCGCCGCGGTCGCCTAGATCTGCCCAGCGATCGGCTACCTTCCTGCCTGGGTTCTCCGAGGCGCCGCCGAAGCTCGTGAAGCCGCCGCCGCTGCAGCCCTCCGCACGGGGGTAGCTCGGGTCGGGCGAGAGGGGGGGACAGACAGTAGGCACACCTGACAAGAATCTGGCTACAGGAAATCTTGGGGCACAGTCTGCGTCGATCTTTGAGGGTCCTGAGTTGCCCCAGAGCTGAATACTCAACGTGACAACGTTAGCGCCCATGACTAGAACCGAACGTGAAAAGTCGCTGTCGATCCTGGTCCTCGTCCAGCTTGGTAACCATCGGAACCATCGATTCGCAGATCGCCCTTGCGAGTCGGCGACGGCCGGCATGGACCATGACCAAGCCTGGCCTCGGCAAGATGCCGCGGCATCTTGGCCCTGAAATATCGTGCCTCTTAGGGGGCTACGAGAGCTGCCGCGCGCAACAGCGCCTGGAGGCGGTGTGACAACCACCTGCTGGAGCCGATTCGCTGCAGCAGACATCGCATGGTATGACATCTACTCATGGGGCACTTCTCTCGTCGTCCATGAGCCTCGCAAGGTGCTCCAAGGCTCCGCGGCCCCATCGGGAGGTACAACAAATCACCGTGGGGCACCCGTTGGCAGGCCAGTTTTTCATCTGGTGTGCCTGCTGTACCCCTTCCCTTCGCTATCCTCCCCCCCCGTTCGTCCGCCCCGGGCAACAAGTGGGGGGGAGGGGGGCGGTGGAGTGTGGAGGAGCAGCAGCAACTCTGGTCAGAAAGGGAAGGGCGCGCAAGGCAGGGAGTACAATCTGAGAACAGATGGCCGACAACTTCGGAAGCAACTCCTGGGGAGTCTTCGCTAGAGCGACTAATGCAGACCACGGGCCATTCAGCCTCTCGACTGGGGTGCCATTGAGCCATCTGAGAAATGCATTCAGCGGGGGGGGCTACGCCGATCTAAGCGGGGCTTTGCAGGATTAGGGCGGAGAAGAAGAAGCTGGTGTATGAGGAGCACCCTAACTCTGGAGTAGCTCCACCTGAGAGAACGTTAACCTCCAGCATCACGAACCTCATGAGAAGGTTCGTGGTCCAATCGAGGATGCAATCTGCTATCCATGTCGGTACCCAAGACAATCAGCGCCATCTCCACGGCCGCCGTGTCAGCTTGGTCGCACGTGAGGTTGGTGTCGGCGCGTCGGAGAGGCAGACCCAGCCAGGCAGGATTAGGGCGGTTTCCGACCACGGATCTACCAGCGCCGATGCCGCCCTCAACCTCCCATGTGCTGCATCCCGAGAGAGCAACAGCAAGCGAGAGAGCGAAGTCCGCTGCCCGTCGAGAGGACTATCCGGGCAGCGCACAGCCAGGCCGACCACGGGCGAGGATCGACCACCGATAGCTGGCCGCTCTCCCGCCCCTGCGGAGAGCGGTGAGGAGTGGCGCGGCGGGGGCTGTGGCAGATGGAGGCGGGGAGGGCGGCAGCCCTGCGCGGGCAGTGCGGGAGGCCGAGCAGGTGCCGTCGAAGGGAGGATCTAGGAGGAGGAGGAGGACCAGTGTAAAGTGTAAACCCAAGACTCATCAACGATGTTCGAATAAACCCTCCCTCCAAGCTCCCTCTTCACAGGCCCCTGCAAGGGTTCTTTTCCACTGAGGGAGCTGCCCCGTTGGGAGACAACCGCTTGAAGACCCTGACATGCCAAAACACCATTCTCGGGACTCCAACGCCACGAATCAACATGGCTGTTGCGTCTTGACGATCCAGAACCGTGCCAGAACACCACTCCTGAGACTTCAACACCACAATCTTGAGTCCTTCCAACACGCAATGTCTGGCACGTTGACCATGGGAATCCGGGAAGCTCTTTCAATTTGTGCAGACGAATGGGCGTCGTGAAACCCTTGCAAATTTCCAACGCGAATGTGCGCGACGAAACCCATATTTTGAACACGGCCCGCCCTCAATCCGTGAAACTCTTGCAGAAGTTTCGTCTCGAATGTGCGCAACGCTGAGGCGAGAAACACATGTTGAAAACCAACCACCCTCAATCCGTCAAATTCTTGCTTTTTTTGAAACAGTGCGCGGCGCTAAGGCGAGAGCCACATTTTGAAAACAACCCGCCCTCAATATGTGAAGCGTCCCCCCAGATCCCCAGAGCCCAGCCGGACAGAAACAAAAGTCACGACGGCCAGTGCGATTTCCTAAGTCTGCCGTTTCGGGACCCCTGGGCCATCTTGGCACCAAACACCAGCCCCATGGAGGAGGTCTGAAGGCCACAGAGAAAACAAGTCACGATGTCAGAGGTCTAGGTCCACGCAAGGGACTGTCCACCCTATCCTATTTGGCTGGGGAATCGTGCCTCCCTGTGGGCACGCACGATGGTGCGGCGCGAAGTCCTGGTTGGACTCTAGAGACCCCAACCCGTCTTCGCAGATATCTCTTAGGCTTCTGTCCGACTGTGCTCTATCGAACGTCTCCCCTGCTGGCACGAGTTACGAGGGTATGAGGTACGATGGTACACGCAGGGTGCGAGCACATCGTGGCCGCAGAGTGCAGGGGTCCAACGTCTCGATGGCTCGAGGCTCCAACGCCTCGAGAGATCCCTGAACTCCTGGACCCAGACTTGACCGACCGACAGCCCGAAGAGACTCTGAGGACTCACGTGCGAGGCGGGGATTTATCCACATCCACCGCCTGGGGACCGACGTCCTGGTGCCCCAGCGGGCGGTGGATGTGGACATGTTTTGGCCCCCGGGGGGCCGAATCTATCCCTGTCCGCCGCCTGTGGAAGCCCGCGGAGATCGAACCCCCAGGCGGTGGTTATGGACAACCCCCCGCCGTGGATCACGGGCCTCGGGTCCTGGATCCGGCCTCGAGCACCGTGGGCGCAGGTTCTCGCGCTCACCGCTCGCGGCGCCGGCGCGCCGAGGGGGGACGTGGGACGGGGCATGCCCTCCCCGTCTCTTCGGAGCAGGCCTCGGAAGCTCCTCGGGAGGACGGGCGCCCTCCGAGCCTTCCCGCGGAGGCCCGCCCTCTCTGCGCTCCCGCCCCGGGGCGCGCCGCCGCACCAGCGGACCGCAGCTCCCTCGCCTCGGAGTGGCTGGGGCTCCGTGGCCCTGGAGGGTGCGAGCAGGGGCCCGGGCCAGGGGGCTCAGAGGCGCCGCGCTCGGACGTCCATTCCCTGTGCTTTTTTCGGTTTCGTGCGTGGTTTTTTCGCCAAATGATCAAGGATTTTCCTCGATGGTCCTCGTCGAAGGAAGAATGCACACGTCCGAGCGATGCCAAGTCAGAGGCGCCGCGCTCTCGTGGCCTCGCCGCGCCGCGCCGCGTCGGGCCGCCGCGCCCAACTCCACAGCGCACGCGGCGCCCGCCGAGGACTCCCGCCGCCAAAGGCGGCCGCCGCCGCCGCCGCCCGCCACCGGCTGCTGCTCGGAGGAGCCGCGCCCAGTCTTGCGCACTCTGGTGTCGGCCTCGCGGCTCTCCAGCAGCGCCAGCAGCGGCTCCAGCAGCGCCGGAGGAGTGCCGAGCCGCGAGGAGGTGGGCGAGCAGCGGAATGTGCGACAAAAGAATATCGAATAGGAGAACGAGGAGAAGAGGGGGGGGAATCGCGAGGAGGTGGACGAGTAGTGGAACGTACGATACAGAAAAGGCGGACGAGGGAAAGGGGGAGGGGGAGGAGGTGAGAGAGGAAGAGGTGGAGGGGAGGGAGAGGAGGAGGAGGTGGAGGAGGTGGATGAGGAGGAGGAGGAGGAGAGTGAGGAAGGGGATGAGGAGGCGGTGGGAGGAGGAGGGAGAGGAGGAGGGAGAGGAGAAGGAGGAGGAGAAGGAGGAGGAGGGAGAGGAGGAGGAGGAGGAGGGAGAGGAGGAGGAGGAGGAGGAGGAGGAGGAGGAGGAGGAGGAGGAGGAAGAGGAGGTGGGAGGAGGAGGGGGAGAGGCGGGAAACAAACTAGGTGCGCTCGCGTCATAACTGACGTCCTACCCCTCCCTCCCATCCCTTACCGTGGCGTAGATCTCCTCTCTAATCGCACAGTCGGATGTCGAGCAGGGCAATGATCCCGAGAGGGTGCGCGATGCATCGTAGAGCACGGCATAGCAGGGCGTAGACGAGCACGGCAGAGCGTATTGTGTGTCATAGCATGGAGTGGCATTGTACATACAGTGAAGAATTGTATAACAAAGCAGTGCGACGCAAATAATAGCAATGCACAGCGGCACACAATATAGAATGGCATAGCATTGCGTTGAAGATCAAAGCGTAGCATGGCATAGCATGGCGTGGCAATGCGTAGTCAAGCGCTGCATACCCTAGACTTGCAGCTGAAGGCATGGCATCGCGCAGCGGAACACCACATAGCATTACATTGCATGCCGTGGCATGGCACTGGAAATAATGACGCCAGCGCTGCACCGGGAGCACGATTCGGAACGAGCGGAAGCCCTACAATGATGCCAGCGCTGCAGCGGGCGCACGATTCGGAACTAGCGGAAGCCCTATAATGAGGCCAGCGCTTCAGCGGGAGCAACATCTTGAAAGACAACCCGAACGAAAACCCAACTCCCGGGAATCCTGCGTGTAAAAAAGCAGTACGCGTATAAGGGGTGCCGAACATCTTCCGGACGTCCTCGGGGAAGAGAGGCGACTAGTACTCATATTGCGTATATCGTGGAGGAGGGGGAAGAGAGAGGGAGAGAGAGAGCGCCGGAAAACGTCCTGGAGGGACGGCCCTATGAGAGCCCGGCGGGGGCGCCGGAGCGCCAGAAGGCTCACTCGTTGCAGCTGCCGGAGTGGAGGAAGCGACGCATGTAGTCCAAGAAGCCTTCTTTACGAGTCTTTCACCATGGTAGGTTCTGGAGAGGAGGGGAAGGGGGAACGGGGGAGGAGGACAACCACACGGCCGAAGACTCTCCCGCCCGGCCCACAGCCGTCCCGCAACGGTCCCCGGACTCCTCCTCCCGGGGCCCAGCCTGGCCCGTCCCTCGAGGCGGCTCCGGCCGTGGCGACGGGCAGCGAGGCACTCTGCCAGAGCCGCCGAGGCATCGGCGATGCACCGGCGATGCGGCGCGAGCCTCCGACCCGCATCTCCTCGGACCCTGGGAGGCCTGGAACGAGAGAGCGACCCTGGGCAAGCAGGACCTTTTTTGGGGTTATATCTATATCTATATTTATGTATACACATATGTGTGTGTATATATATATATATATTTATTTACAGAGGGCGGCACGGGCGGGAGCGGAATTGTCCACTGCCCAACGCGGAACGAAGCCACCCTTCGACCTGGCACCGCCAGCCTGCGCCTTCAATCCAGGCGCGGACCAGACAAATGCCCGACGCTTCCGAAGTGAGCAGTTTTGCGGACCACCTTTGTCTTGATCCTCTCGCCGCGGCGGACTCGGAAGCCACAGTGCGCCCGACAGACTTGCTGGCCCTCCTTGATGGTTTTCCTGCCCAGTTTCACCTTAGCCTCCATACCAACAGCTTCGCCACGTGTGAGGAGGCCGAGTAACAAGAATCTGGAGAGCCAGTGTTGTCTGCGCCCGGATCCCCTCGCGCGGAACAAGTGTTGACATCGTTCCCCTGACGACGTTCCCCCCAATAAAGTATTATGCAGGAAGGATCATGAGCAGATGTCCTTGACCCATGCCTTGAGCCAACATGGCTACGGAGGTGCGCGCCTTTTGGGGGGCCGCGGGGGGGGGGCAAGCGCGCAGGACGTCACTGCCGCCTCGCGTTCGGCGACCCAGGGACCCCAGTGGGCCTGCACCAAAGGTCACTCTGGCGAAGGGTCACTCTTACGCGTAGTCGACAGAACGAGATCTGGGGCCTGGAAGCTTGTGGAAGGCCAACTAGGCGACGAAGAGAAAGGGGTCTTACGCGAGACGGCACACCGACATTATGCCGCGGCTTACGCGGGCCGCCAGCTTGGCACGCTGCAATAAATTCGTGCGGTGTCGGCACGCGCAAACGTTTTTGACATCGCGTCGATCGTTCAACCTGGAATCGATCGCGGCCCCGATCGTTCAAGATTGAATTCCGCTGGGTCCTGTGGTGTGACTAGCGAACATGCGAAACTAGATCGTTCAAGCGTGAACGCGCGCAAAGGCTCCAAACTTCAACCTTGAACGCCTTCGCCGGCGTCGCTGGCGCGCCAACGCCGCATGAACCTACCGTGCACTGGAAACGAGGGCGCTTACGCCGACCTTACGCGGGCAACGTGCGCACGAACGTCCGCGCATTGTCCGCACAAGTGCACCCGTTCTCTTCCGTCGAACACCACCGCCGCCCTCATCAGATGAGGAACTCGGCGCCTGTAACCTCCAGGGCACACTCCTCAACCAACGCCCCCACTGTAGGATGCAGCAAGTCCTTCCAACGAGAAGTCCTGCCGCAGGGAGGGCGAGGGTGCACTTGCCGCCGATCCGGTCAGCTGCCGAAGGCGTCCCCAAGACCTCCGTGGCTGCACGGGGGTCTTGGGGGAATACAGTCGGCCCGTCTCGCAGACGGATGTGCGATGAGGATGCGCGGGCCCTGGGCGCCCACTTCGAAGCTTCTCGAGCGGGGCGCGGCCAACGAAAGTGGCTAAGGATGGACCGAGCGGGGCGGCCAGTGAGCGCTGCGGAGAGCCTGGGAGCGCCTGGGAGCGCCTTGGGGGTGCCTGGAAGCGCTTGGGAGCGCTTGGGAGCGCCTGTGAGCACCAGGGAAGCGTCTGGGAGTGCCTGGGAGCGCCTGGAAGCGCCTGAGAGCGCCTGGGAGCGCCTGGAAGTATGTGTGTCGGAATTCAGGGGGCTCTCCTAAACCCTAAGAGGCTTTAGGAGGCGAGGATGCAAGGGTACCCTTGGGAATGTTGCCCATCCCTACTATGCGGGTTGACTGTAAGACACTTCCGTTGGCCACCTGCTGGCGGGGCTGCTTCCTTCTTCGGCGGCGCACCTGCTGTATATCATAGGGGATCGGGCGGCGTTCCCGCGAGCGCCCACGCATGCTCAGGGAGGGTAGCATTAAGTTGGGCATGTCCCTCTACAGGAGGCATATTCAAACATAGTTATACACTAAAAATCTGGGGACGATGTACTGACGATTCTTGACAATTTTTGAATATGTTTCGGCTGCTTTCCATTTTTCTTCCAGCAATCGTCTGTAGGAGGACATGCCCGACCTAAGAGTAGCGGAGATGCGGTGGTGGCCGCAGGCGTCTCGTGCAGCGGGTTGTCGAGAAGCAGGCTGATGTCGTCGCAGGTCTTGACCTGGCTTGGGCAGGAGCAGGAGGAGTGGAGGAATGAGAGGAGGACGAGGGGGATGGAACTGTAGCCATCGTGCTACCGCAAGGGACGTCAACCAAGGAACGGATGGGACTTCTCTGGCCACAACGGGCTTCGGCCACGAATAGTGGAGGCCCGGCCACAAGAAGCCTTCCACAAGAAACCCAACCCTGACACACCAGGACGTCCATGGATTTTTGGTGCGGGAGCGTCACGCTTTCCATCGCAAAACCATCGAAGCCCGAGAAACCCGGGCGCCCTGGAGGCCAGCAGGGGGCTTCTTGGCACGGGTCTCCGCCGTAGGTTCCCCGACCTGGGCCTAAGGAACGTCGGGGGCGCGCAGACATGGACTAGCGATCCGTGGATTTGGCGCGCGGTCGCCAAATCCATGGATCGGGGGAGGTGCCCTCCCCATAATGCGGCCGGTGCCGTCTCCTTCTCCTCCTCCTCCGCCTCCTCCTCCGCCTCCTCCTCCTCCTCCTCCTCTTTCTCCTCCTCCTCCTCCTCCTCCTCCTCCTCTTTCTCCTCCTCCTCCTCTCCTCCTCCTCCTCCTCCTCCTCCTCCTCCTCCTCCTCCTCCTCCCCCTCCTCCTCCTCCTCCTCCTCCTCCCATGGAAGCGGGCCCCGTCGCCGACCCCCACGCCCCCTTGATATCCATGCCTGCGATCGCCCGAGGACGGCCCGACCACCGGAGCCCCTCCGGAGCCCGACGTGGCCCTCGCTCGAGCGCCTGCCGGCCGCACGACGCTGCGCTCCGCGCCGCGAGGCGCGCGGGGTGCGGCGTCGCCCCGTCGCCCCCGCGCGCAGACCTCCCGGGAGGCGCAGCGCTCGCCAGACCGGGCCGCAGCGCGCAGAGCGCGGCGATCCATCTCCGTGCCCCCGCGGGGGGAACCCGGGGAAGGGGGCAGGCGGCAGGGCGGGGAGGGGACTGGGACTGAACGGGGCGTCTCCCTCCCAGTCCTCCTCCTCCTCCTCCTCCTCCGCCCTCTCCTCCTCCTCCTACTCCTCCTCCTCCGCCCTCTCCTCCTCCTCCTCCTCCTCCTCCTCGGTACAAAAAAAACGCCGGGAGGTGGCGTTCGAGGAGCAGGTGTTATATAGCCAGCGTGGGCCCCAAGCGGTGACCTCTTGCAACCTATGTGCGGTGCAATCGGAGCGGTGCAGTCAATATGGTGCAACCGATCAAGGCGTGTGTCATCCATGTGGTGCTGTCTCTGCTGTGAAAAGCAACGCAAGGCAACGCACATCAATGCAGCGCAGAGCAATGCGATGTATTGCGATGCGAAGCAATGCAAATCGACGCAGCGGAATGTAAAACAATTCGATGCAAACAACATAAAACTTGCGTTGCGAACGGGGGAGGGGCGCGACGGGGGCATACGACGGGGCAGAGGCGGCGGGCGAAAACGGGGCCGCTGTGCCTTCTGTTGGGAATAATCAGGCGACGATGGACGCGGGGCCGCCGAAGCAACATGCAGGCCAAGTTCATTTGAAGCGAAGTGAGAACCCCTGGGTGCAAGCACTGCTTGGGGACAAACTGTATCAACAAACTGCCGAAGGTCCGCGCGAACTTCTTGGATCTGCGCTGGACTCTCTCCCTGCCGCGCGGAGCTCGCCGGGGGCGGCGCTGGAGGCGCCGCCAGAGGGAACCACCGCAGGTCCAGGAACTCCGCGCGGACCTCTCAGAGTTTATTCCCGAACCGTGCTTGCACTCAGGCGTTCTTACTTGTGCCACTAAGACTGATATCAGCTGGACAGGGCAGGCGAGGATTTTCCAACCTTGCCGCCCATGGCCGCCTCGTGCGCTGGGTGGTCCGGCGAGGTTTCACCCCGTCGTCGCCCGTGGCCGCCTCGTGGCCGCCTTCTGCGCCTGCGAGGTCTCGCCGCGCTGCCGCCAGTGGTTGCCTCGCGGCCGCCTCGCACGCTGGGTGGCTCCGGCGAGGCTTCGCCACGTTGCCGCCACGTTGCCGCCTCGTGGCCGCTTCGTGCTCTGGGTGGGTCTGGTGAGGTTTCGCTTCGTTGCCGCTGGTGGCCGCCTCGTGGCCGCCTCGTGCGCTGGGTGGCGCCAGCGAGGCTTCGCCGCGTTGCCGACCAGGCTTGTCTCGTGGCCGCCTCGAACGCTGGGTGGCTCCGGCGCGGCTTCGCCACGTTGCCGCCCGTGGCCGCCTCGTGGCCGCCTCTGCGCTGGGTGGCTCTGGCGCGGTTTCGCCACGTTGCCGCCAGTTGCCGCCTTGTGGCCGCTTCGTGCGCTGGGTGGGTCCGACGCGGTTTCGCTACGTTGCCGCCCTTGGCCGCCTCGTGGCCGCCTCGTGCGCTGTGTGGGTTTGGTGAGGTTTTGTTATGTTGTTGCCTTTGGCCGTCCTGTGGGCGCATCATGCGTACACTACTTACATACCTCACACCACACATATTGCATGACGTAACTCGCATTTCGTAAGTCATACCACATAGTGCACCACATATCTAACACCGCATAGCTTCTATGTCGCAGCTCACACCACACGGATTCCACCCAACAGCCTGCAACACATAGCTCGCACCAAATAAATTGTATTGAAAGGGTTGCACCACTTAAGTTGCGCCCCGTAGCTTACACCACATAGCTCACACCACCTGGATTGCACCACGTACATTGGGCAACATAACTTACACCGAGTGGCGCATGCAAGAAATAGACTGCGCCACGTGTATTGCGCCAGGTAGCTTGCACTTCGCAGCTCAAATCACACTTTTATTTGTTGTGCAGGAATTCGGATCAACCGACCGCCCGAAACCACGCTTATCGAGCCCCTGGGGATCTGTAAATTACACGTGAGTTTGCCCCATCGTCGATTCTAAATATGAGCTCCGACCATCCCAGCTGAACCAAGCTCGACCCCAAAACCACCCTCTGCAAAAAGCTATACGAGCACATTCGTTTATCTAATATCGTCGTTTACGTCGTTTACCAGAAACAAACATTCGCAACATAACAAACGAAATGCACACGCGCGCTTCGTCGCGCGCGCACGCCGAAATCCTTCAAACACCACCCGGTTTGCACGGATTTTTAACTCGACGGTCTTGAAACCATATGCAACACGCGTGGCTTTGCAACATGATTGAACATATCTGCGCGCGCGTTCTTTTGAAACCCCCGGGAAATTCAAATATATGTTTTCCACTATTTTCATCGCGTGCGACGAATCGGGCATCTCGCTCGTGCGTGTCGAAATCACTCGAACGCCCTTGCGCGCGTGCTTGTGGGGTACGGTCCCTGTCAGATAATGCTATGCGGGACACTCGCGCCCGTGGGCCGCGCCCGCATGTCGAATTCGCTCTAAAACTTTCATCACCGACGCGTGGGCACCATCAAGGTCATCGGCGTGGTCAACATCGACGCCGTCATTGGCCGTGCCTCGTCATTGCCATCGTCGTCACCAGCATCGCTATAGTAGTCAGCGTGTCTGCCGTCGTCGACGTCGCCACACCCACTCGCACTGAAGTGCCCGCGCGTCAGCGTGGCCTGCGAGACGCGCTGGGGGAAGTCCCTTGCGATCAGCGCCACAGCGGCCGCGCCAGACTAGCTGGCCACTCTGCGCGCTAGCCTGCGCGCGCTAGCGCGGCTGCAGCGATGCGCCAGCCAGCGCCAAGCAATCATCGCAATCGCCGCCGAATGGGTTTTGCCAGCCAAATTGCGGGTAGGTGGGTGGGATGATTGCGCGAGCAGTAATCGCCAACTCACTTCGAACAACAAAACACTACACCTCATATATTACACGACATGGCTTACACATCCACGGCTCAACATCTCACTGTTTGGGGTCCATGCAGGTAAACGTGTGCATGCTGTTTCTTCGAAAGCAGCGACCAGCACTTCAGCGCCACTCTCGCGCTGCAGCAGCGGCATGCGGTCGCTGATCGAGTCGTCCGCGGCGAGCTCCTTCATGATGGCGTCCCACAGCTTGTGGCCCCTGCGGCAACGGGAAACAGTTGCGATGGAAGCGACGACGCCACCCTTACGTACCAGAACGAAAACAGGCCAGTGACAGGCATATAGTAGCCACATTCTGTACGAACTCGTGCTAATCAAACATGTTGGGGCGTATTCTTCGTCGATCTTTCAAGGTCCTGAGGTGCCCTAGAGCTTCTGTGGGTTACTGGGGCCATCGGGGGAACAACAATTTCCGTGGTGCACCTGCTGGCAGACCGACTTCTTCTGTGATGTGTCTAACGTGCGTAGATTGGCGTCGACTGGTATGACAGACCTGATAGCGAACATCACCGTGCCTCCCTTGAGAAAAGCGGAGTTGCAGTAAAAAAAGCATAGGCCACAGTTGCCGCACCCAGACCCACTCTGCTGCAATTCGTCCACTCCCTCTGACCTTCCGCTCCCTGCGACATCCCTTGCTCACTCTGTCGGCCCCTCACCAGCTGTTTTTGAGAATCGCGGCCTGCTTTTTGATCGTCGTGGGCAGAAGCGGCCCCTGGAACCCGAATCCAAAAAGACGCTGGGACTGACAACAACATCTGGACTACCCCAAATGGGCACGGAACAACTGGGCACGATGCCCGACAGCAGCCGCTGCCCCAAACCGACGGCGGCTCAAAGCGTCCGCTGCTGTGCAGGCGACCTGGCGCCTCGAGTGGACAACATCCGCGGCGACACCGACGGTGAGTCCAGCTCAAAACGGACCCGCGTTTTTTTTGTTCTTCGCGGGCTGGTGCCACAGTGTACGCAAGACCTCCGGCCGTCGCCGAGGCGGCAGGGAGGAGGAGGAGGAATAGGAGGAAGATGATGATGATGATGATGATGAGGAGGAGGAGGAGGAGGAGGAGGAGGAGGAGAATAAGGAGGAAGAGGAGGAGGAGGAGGAGGAAGAGGAGGAGGAATAGGAGGAGGAGGAGGAATGGAGGAGGAGGAGGAGGAGGAGGAGGAGGAGGAGGAGGAAGAGGAGGAGGAGGAGGAGGAAAGCGCTGTTGTCGGTCGTTGTCCTCGTCCTTCCCGTGCCCGCGTCGTGCGCGCGGAAGCCGCGTCGAGGCCGGAGGCGTGGGCCCCCGATTCTCGCGCTTGCCAGCAGAAGCGCTGGGGCTCGGCGGTCGAGCTGGTGGGTTGCGGGGCCCACAGAGGCGGTGCCCAGACGGACCTGGGGCCCCCTGGGGGCCAGTCGAAGATGCGCCAGGCGACGTCCCAGCACGCAGCGGAAGGGCGGTTGGCGGGGCCCGCGCCGGCCGCGCGGCGGCTAGCGGGGCCCGCGCCCGCCGCCCAGCTCCCCCTTGCCCTTTGCCTTCGCTCGCTTCGCCTCTCGGGAGCTGCAGTAGTGGGCCTCGGCGCAGCCTGACCTTGCCCGTGCCATTGCCCTGGTCTCCCCTCTTGCCCCTCTTGCCACCTGCGCATGGCGGCGTCGTCGGTCGCCGAGCGCCGGTGCCGCGATCGTGGCCTGGGGGGCCACCGTCGGCCTCGCGGCGGACCGCGCTCGCTGGGCTGCCAGGGCCGACGCGAACTCGCTCCGCCTGATCCTCGAACCGCACTCGGTGGCCTGGCGGGCTGCGAGACGGAGGCGGGGGCCTTCGAGGAGACCCCTCCTGCACCTCTGCCTTCGTCCTCAGGAGGACTGGGGGGCTTCTGGGCCTCGCGCCTGCGCCGCGGTCGAAAGACACGCGGCCCCCCCGCATCGTCGTCGCAGCAAGATGACGGCGCTCCGCTCCTCTCCCTGTCGAGGGGGCCCTCGATTGAGCCTCCAGACTTGGGCGCCTTGCCAAGGGTGTCTGTCAGCGATCGGCGGAACGCCGCCCTCCCTGCACCTGCTGCTGGAGACGCTGCATCCTCGTGTCGGCCTGCTCGTCGCGGTAGTAGTGCAGCTGCCCCGCGCTCTTGAACTGCCGGACCAGTGCGCCCGTCGCGCGGGCCAGGTCGCCGCGGGGCACGCAGTCCACAGCGGCCGCGAGGGCGCGCACCTCCTGGTCGTTCCTCGCTGGAAGCGTGCTCTTCGTGCTCGGGGTGAACTCGCTCGCGAAGTGCGTGACGAACGCCAGTAACGCCAGGTCCGCGTCGTCGACCACCGCGTTGTTCCCCTGCAAATAACGCCGCATCTTCGCCATCGCGCGCTGCGCGATCTTGCCCGGCTTCCTTTCCACCGCGCGCTTGGCACGGTCCCGCGCGGAGAGTCGGGCGCCCGTAACATGTGGCCCCGAGCTGCCGCCGCTGCTGCTCCTGCAACCTCTGCGGCTCTGACTAGAGCGGCGTCGTCTGCTCCTCCCTCGGCGCCTCCGCTTCTCGGGAGAGCGGGACTTGCGCTGACTGGCGCCCGAGGGGTGGCCACCGTGGACCTTGCCGGCCAGCTTCTCCTGCAGGCTGCCAGAGCGGTCTCGGCCAAGGGCCTTCGCGCCTCGCTCGCGCGTTTGCGACCGCGGCGGTCTCTGTCATCCCCCTCAGGGGTAGGCGACGAGACCGACCGGCGGTGGCGGCCCTGGTCTCCACGAGCGACGTCGGCGTCGGCGCGCTCGGCAGCCGCGAGCTGGGCTGCGCGCTCCACAGCAGTGGCCGCGGGCGCCTTGCCGCCTGCTCGATCGGCCTCGCCCTGAGGGCGGTCCATAAGGGCGCGCCGAGCTTGCCTCGGAGGTCGCGCTCCCTGGCGCCTGGAGCTGCAGCCCGAGTGCTCGTGCCACCTCCAGCACCAACGCTGTCAGAAGCGTCGCCACGGTCTCCGCCATCGCGGGAACCACGAGCCCCCGTGGAGGCCTCGCGCCGTGGGCTGCGGCTCCTCGCCTCGTCGTCCGCGGGAGGGCCCGCGCGCGGCTCGGTGAGCACCTTGTAGCCCTTGCAGGGCAGCGCGGCATAGCGCCAGCGGGCCACGTGGATGACCGCATCACTGAAGACCTCATCAGCCTGCTCACAGTCATCGGGATGCGTACCCTCGGCGCAGCGCGCAGAAGCGCATGACCTGCAGCCACGAGTCCCCGTCCAGGTCGATGAACGCCCGCTCCATTTCCGCGATGTCGCAGGGATCCTCGGCGCCAAGGTAGTTCACCTCGAACGCGGGCGCGATCCCCTCCTGACCAAGCTCGTTCGCCGAGCCATCCGTGTACTTGGCCAGCTCGACCAGCTTGGAGGTCGCGAGCACACGCACTTCGACCTTCACGACGATCCCCTGCAGCGCTGATTGCGGGATCGCTGGGAACTTCCCCGAATACCACTCGGAGGCCGCGCGGCCTCGGCGGGTAAGGCTAGGCCTCGCCGAGCGGCCTCGACTGCCGCGATGCCCCGCGGGCAGCGCGCCTCCGACGCGGCCGCCAGGCCCGCGATGACCACGGCCGCCTCCGCCACAAGCACCATGCCTGCCAGCGCCACCGCCACCGCCACGGGAGTGACCGCCCCCGCGCCCTGCGCCTGCGTGCTCCGCGCGCGCAGCTCGAGCGCGGCGAAGCG